GCCAAGTGTGGGGAGGGGGCATCCAGGTGGGCCACAGCGTTCAGGTGGGGATACCGCACGTGAGGCTTGCATGACTGCGCGTGTGTGCATCTGATGGTGCGTGCTGGGGAATGGGAGTGGGCAGCGCAGGCTTGCACGGGCAGCGCACGGAGCGTCGAGATTTGCGAGCGTGACACTCTGTGTGTGTGCGTGAATGCGTGTGTGCATGTGTCTGCCCACGTGCGTGTGCAGCCTCCGTTCAAAAACTCTGTTTCCCAACTCCCAGCCCTTCCGATCCGCGCTTATCGACGCCCCATCATCACCACCAGGAACCCTGATCCCTCAACCCCACACCCACCACGACCAACTCCACCCATCCCCCCGCCACAGCCACACCCTGGGTTGGCTCAACCAGTGGGCGTGCTCGCGCTCCTTTGGCCTGGGCACGCGGCTGCCGTGGGACGAGCAGTACCTCATCGAGTCCCTGTCAGACTCCACGGTCTACATGGCATACTACACGGTGAGAGGGGGCCCAGGGTTCAGCGTTCACGGGGTTCTAGGGTTTAGGCCCCTGGATCCATCGTGTAGGTTTCAGGTTTGTGGGCCCAGGGTTTAGGAGTTTGTGGCAAGGGTGTAGAGGTTGGGGCTGTGGCTAAGGATTCAGGGTTTTTTTTGCGGCAGCGGGGGGGGGGGGGCACCAGACTCCATGGTCTACATGGCGTACTACACGGTGGGGGGCTCAGGGTTCAGGATTACAGGGTTTCTAGGGTTTAGGGCCACCAGGGTTTAGCGTTCAGGGCTCTGGGACCCGGGTTTCGGATTTACGGCCCAGGGCTCAGGGATTGGGGTCGGGGCCCAGGGTTCAAGGCGATTTTTTTGCGGCGGAGGGCAAGGATGACCAGACTCCACGGTCTACATGGCATACTACATGGTGGGGGGCGGGGTTGGAACAACCGCGCCCAGGGTTTAGGGTGCAGGGTTTAGAGCCCAGATACCAGAGCTCAGGGGTTGGGGCTGAGGCTTAGGGTTCAGGACGTTTCCTGCAGCAGCATGGAGTTGCTGTCAGACTCCACGGTCTACATGGCGTACTATACGGTGGGGGGCCCAGGGTTTGTGGGGTTGATGGCCCAAGCAACCAGCGTCCAGGCGTTGGTTGGGTTTCAGGGCGGAAGGGTTGGTGTTGAGCTCAAGGGAGTGTCCTCGCCGGTGGGGGTTTTGTCATGGGACCCTTTTTGGGCGGCGTCATCAAGGGTGGCTTGGCCCACCCGCCCCTGCCAAATCGACGGGGCAGGCGGGGGGGCTGGAAGGGGGGCTCTGGTGTGTGGGCGAGGGGTGGCAAGTGAGGGTGTGGTTGGGTGATGGGGTGGGCAGTCATAGATCCGCCCTGCCCATGCTGTTGGTGCATCAAGTTGAGAGCGTCACCACTGCGCATGCGATCGGCCGCCCCGCGCCTGCTGGCAGACCCGCCAGGTGGGCCCGCTGCCCCCCCCGCCAAAAAAATACGTCCGCCTGGGCGATCCTCAGCCCCCTCAGGCCCCCGGTCAAGAACCGGTGCCCGCACCAACCCAAACCCTGGACCCCCTCAGGTGGCCCACTTTTTCCAGAACGGTGACATGTATGGGGAGACCCCCGGCTCCATCCGGCCGGAGCACATGACCCAGGAGGTCTGGGACTACATCTTCCTCAAGGGGTGGGCAGGGTGATGAGGTGTGGGCGGAATATAATGGGGGGACAACGAGCCTCGCCCCCTCGCTTTTCTATCCCGCTGGCTGGCCGCGGTTGCTGCCTGAACCAGATTTTCAATCCAGGACCCCCTGATATGAGGGATGTGGGAGATGAGGGGCCCCTGGGCTGAGGAGAAAATGACGGGATTGCTTGCCGGCCCGGAGCGCCGCGCGCCCGCCAGCTGGCGTCGAGCCGCAGCCGCAGCCTGTGTCCGCCTGCCGCCACAGCACACTCGTCGGCTGCGCCCAGGCGATCTCCTGCTATTGTAATCGCACCCTCGCCCTCGCCTCTTCCCCTGCGGCCCGGCCCGCATATCACCCCACCCGACCTGACAAGCGCGGCCCACACCCTCCTCCAACCCCATCAACCGCCTAATCGCACCCCTCTATGGCCCCCGCCCCCCAGCCCCCTGCCCCAGGACAGCGCCATCCCCCAGGCCACCCTGGAGGCCATGCGGGCAGAGTTTGAGTTCTGGTACCCCTTCGACCTCAGGGTGGGCCGGTATATCGGGATTTTTTGGGGATTTGGCAGGTTTCAGGGCTCAGGAAGGGGTGGGGCCGGGGTTTCGAGCAGCTTCAGGGCCTTGAGATTGCGGGGTCCTTGGTTTGTTGCTTTTCAGTGCAGCTTGACGTTGATGAGAGATTCTTGATCTCGAGTTTTTGAAGGGTTGGGGGTGTGGTGGTTTTCAAGGGCTTTCTTGAGTGGGCTCCCAAAAACACAACACCCACACCCAATCCAATTCTCCTGCGCCCACAATCATGTTTGTCACCGAGGCGTCCGGCAAGGACCTTATCCAGACCCACCTCACCTTCTCCCTTCACAACCCCTAACCCTGAAACCCTCATCCCTAACCATGAAACCAACCCCCAGGTGTCTGGCAAGGACCTCATTCAGAACCACCTGACCTTCTCCCTTTACAACCACGTGGCGGTCTGGGGGGAGGACAAGGACAGGCTGCCGCGGTCGTTCAGGTGCGATCGCGGGATGGGCGGCGATTGATAGACGACGATTCGCGCACACACGCCAGGGACACGCGATGCTGACGCCATGCGCCCACGGCTCGTGGGGAGGGGCGGGCGCACGGGGTCTTGATGCTCTGGGCGGGGTTTGCAAGGGGGAGACGGCTGCTGTGACTTTCGGACCTGTGGACCCCAGCCGACAAGTCGAGGGACTGCCTGCCCGCACCCAGGCGCGACGCCCAGCCCCACGTCCCGCGCGCGCACGCTCCCACGCAAACGGTGGTGTCGCCCTCTCTCCTCGCCCCCATCATTACCATCACCATCGCCGTTGTCACAAGCTGAGCTCGGCATCAACCTGCTGCCCGAATCCACCCCCGTTCCCCCCCCCCCCACCCCCCAGGTGCAACGGCCACCTGCTGCTCAACAGCGAAAAGATGAGCAAGAGCACGGGCAACTTCAAGACCCTCTCGGACGTGAGCGGCCGCCAGGGTTCAGGGCTTTTTCCCCCACGCGCCGCCGCCTGGTTCCCGCTCACAGGCTCGAAAGCCATCCCCCGGCTTCCCGAAAGGGGTCTACGGCCGGCGCTGCCCGTCTGCGGCGGGGGTGGTGGGGGGTGCTCACAGTGTGCGGAGGCGAGGGTTCGGCAGGACAATCTACTAGGGTGCACCGGACGGCGTGCGAGTGCGAGTGCGATGCATTCCCCGCAGCCTATTAAGCCGGCGCCCCAGCCTGCCCATGGCCGGGAGCGTGACTTGCCGCTGCGCAGAGCAGAGCCCCAGGGCCGCTTGTCTGGCGATGGGGGCTCGCCAGTGCCCCCTCCAGCCCTGGATTGCGCGCCCACACCCCACACATAATCATCAACTCACCTTGCACAACCATCTTCACCTCATACGACGCCAGCTACACAACCACGCCGCTGCGGTGTTGTTGGTGCTATCCCAGCTGCCCGATTCGGCTAAAACGCCACCACGTTGATCCCGTTGCACACGCATGCGCGCGTGCGCGCGCGCACACACACACACACACACACACACACACACACACACACACAACACACACATACATACACGGGCACATGCGAGAACCTTCATCCTCTCACCGCCCAATCCGTCCCTTGAAGTCAAAATTAAATGCGGCGCTCCTACAACACTCTTGCCCCGAGCACGCAAAACCCACCCCTTGTTGTCACCAAAGCGCCCCAGCTGATCACGGCAAACCTCAACCCACACGCCCCCGCAATCAACATATAACACGTGTTAATCACACCCGCAAACCTGGACCTGCCCAGGCAATTGCTGAGTACAGCGCCGACGCGATGCGCTGGGCGCTGGCGGACGCGGGCGACGCCCTGGACGACGCCAACTTTGAGACCAGCACAGCCAACGCCGCCATCCTGAGGATCACCAAGGAGCTCGCATGGACAGAGGAGGTGCTCGCGCCAGACGCGGGTGCGTTGTTTTTTGCGTCTCGTCGGGTTTTGGCCGGTGGCCATTTCCCGTGTGCCTGGCGGGGCGTCCCACACCCCCTGGGCATCTCTGGCGGCTCTGTGCGTGTGCCGTGCGGTGCCGATGCTTGTTGCTGGGCACGGCCGGCGCGCGTGCGTGCGTGCGTGTGGGCCGCCCTCGCACAGGTGTTAGAGCCGGTGGTCGCCGCGAGCGACGGCTGCCTCCCCGCCCACCTGAGACGCCCGCAGCCGGTGCGGCCCGCAGCGCTTGCAACCCCCTTCGTAAACCCTTTCCTCCCCTCACTCCGCCTGTTGCCCGGCCACGCTGTATCTGCTGGAATTGCTTGACCAGGGCTGCGGGAAGGCCCCGCGGACACGGTGCAGGACAGGGTGTTTGCCAACGAGATCGCGATCGCCGTCCACAGGTGGGTGGAAAAGATGTGATTCTGTGTGTAGGCGTGTGTACGCGTGCCCACTGTCTGTGTGTGTACGTGCGCTTACTATGCAGGTGTGTGTTTACGTGTGTGTGTGTGTGTGTGTGTGTGTGTGTGTGTGTGTGTGGAGGCGCTTGTGCACCATTCCAGAATACTTGCGTGCACGTGAGCACAGGTTTGTGCTGTTCAAACGAGTGCGTGTGTCACAGTTGCAACCCAAAGGGTTGCACAGGTGAAGTCTGGGTGTGCATGGGGCTTTCGCATGGCTTGCATGGCTTACACCGGGACATCAGCCGCTGTCAACTGTTGGAGGGGGCCGTGAGCGGACCCCGCAGCCATTAAGCCGGCGCCCCAGCCTGCCCATGGCCGGGTGCGTGACTTGCCGCTGCGCAGAGCGAGCGCGCCTCTATCCACGGCGGGCGGGCGGCCTTTCACACCGCCCCTTGCTACTATGCTGAGGACACACACACACACACACACACACACATACACACGACAATGTCTCTCTCTTGCACGCACGCAATGGATGATGCACACAATCTCACACAGTGGTATGCACACACTTATTCCTGCACATACACAGCCGCACTCTCACACCTGACCCCCACCCTTAACCCCCCAGGGCCAAGGAGGCGTACGACCGCCTGCTATTCAGAGAGGCGCTCAAGGCGGCAGCATACGACCTCGGGAACGCACGTGACGTGTACAGGTGACACATACACACATCCGAATGCATTTGCCATCAGTGTGGTGATCCCACATTGGCACGGCCCACGCGACCTTCATACGGCTCGCCCCACGCCGGGCGCTTGCATTGCTCCCGCAGCTCCCTCTGCAGCAGGGGCCCGTGTCGCTCTTCTCCACGGTTTGCAGCGCCACAGTCCTCCTCATCCCCTGTGTGTTCCCTCCTAACACATACACACACACACACACACACACACACAACACACACATGTGTGCACACATGCATGTTTGCGTTCACACATACACACACATAAATGCATGACCTCGACACAGACGCACGATCACTCACATTCTCTCCGCAATCACGCCCGCCGCCAGGTTCTCCTGCGGCCCCGAGGGCATGCACCGCGGCCTGCTGCAGCGCTACGTGGAGATGTCGACGCTCATGCTGGTGCCCATCACGCCGCACACCTGCGAGCACGTTTGGGGGAAGATGCTTAAGAAGGAGGGCTCAGTGCTCACTGCGGGTGAGGGGGGGGGTTACCAGGATACTTTTTGTGTGTGTATGTGTGTGTGTATGTATGTGTGCCTGTCCGTGTGTGTGCATGTGTGCATGCGTGTGTGTGTGGGGGGCATGGGTGTCTGGAGGGCACATGGGTGCACGTGAACGTGCACATGTGCCTTTGCGCTCACATGCTTTTCGTGTGTGTAGATACATGATTTGTATGAATTGCATTCATGAACACGTGTTTCAGGCGTCAGTGCACACTGCGACGGTCGCGCTGGGCAGCCTCAGAATCCCCTCCCCCTCCCCCCCCCACCCTTCGCCCTTCCAGGCTGGCCGCAGTGCGAGGAGCCGGACTTTGTGCTGCAGCGCGCCGCCGCCTACATAGAGAGCACGATTGCCAGGTGGGTGCCTGCAGTGATTTGGGGGAGGGGGCTTTGGCAACGTTGCGCAGGTCCAGGGGGGTTGACGGAGCAATCTGTTGGGGGAGAATGGTGTGCGGTCTTGGGGGGCAGGTGTATGCGCTCTGGAGCATGGTTTAAGGGGTGTGTCAGCATGAGCAGGCGGCCAGCGTTCGGGGCCGTCGGCAGTGGAGGGCGCGTCGAGGGGGCCGGGTGGGCGCTTGAAGGGGTTGAAGCATAGATTGCCTCGGGATGTTCGTCATTTCGTTGAAGATGCATCTGCAGAGCTGCACAGTTACCGGGGCAGGCAGGGCGAGCGCCCACGCCCGCGGCCCTGGGGCCACTGCACCACCACCTCCCTGGAGCAAAAGCCGCTCGCCCTCCCTCCCACCCCTTGGTAGCTCTGCCAGCCTTCCCCGCCACACTCACGTTTTGCTCTCCCGCTCCATCCCACGCCTCTTGCACCCCCCCCTCCTGCCAGCTGGCGCAAGCTCATCGCCAAGGTGGAGGCGCCCCCCAAGAAGAAGAAGGCGGCCGACCCGCCGCCACCCAAGGTGCGGCCCCTCAGCCCCCGCCCGCGGCCGCTTCGCCGCCGCGCAAAAGCAACACAAAACTGAGGTGAACAACTGCAGCTCGCATTCCTTGCATCTGTTTATCCCACAATGACGCTCCAGCACCCCTTTGCTCACCCATCCACGTGTTGACGGTGGGCCCCCTTCCCACACGCAACGCCCTCTTGCTCGACGCCGCCGCCCCGCAGGTCACCCACGGGGAGGTGTTTGTGGCGGAGCGCTTTGGCGGCTGGCAGGAGGTTGCACTGCGCGCGCTGGCCGGCGGCTTCGACGGCGGCGCGAAGCAGTTCTCCGCGGACGTGTACAACGCGGTGCAGGAGGCGATCAAGGGGGCCGCGGGCGCGGGGGTGGACGCGGCGCTGGAGGTGGGCTTGGGTGCAAGTTTTTGGGCGTGTGCGTGCGTGTGTGTGTGTGTGGATGTGTGTGAACGTGTTTGTGGGGATGGGTTTGTGCGTGTGATTCGGTTGGGGGAGGGCCAGTGGGGTGGGTCCTTGTACCGAGTCCTGCGCGCGGGCGCTGTGCATGCAGCTGGGTAGGTGGCGCTTTCAGGAGAGGCGGGCACACCAACTGGGCCACTGACAGCAGCCTTGCCAGCCCCCCGCAGCCATTAAGCCGGCGCCCCAGCCTGCCCATGGCCGGGATCGTGACTTGCCGCTGCGCAGAGCGAGCGCGCCTCTATCCACGGCGGGCGGGCGGCCTTGACACCGCCCCTTGCTACTATGCTGAGGACACACACACACACACACACACACACACACAACATTGCAATGCACACAACATTGCAATGCACACAAAGTCCAAATCCCATTCACACAAACACACAAATTCACACTCTCCTCACACATGCGCACTTCCGCCATCGCGCCCCCTTCCTGAATCACACGAGCACCCACCGCATATCCACACACATACACACACGCACACACACTCAATCTCTCACACTTCCTCCCGCTCACCCCAATACCCGCCTTGACCCCAGGGCCTGAACGACAAGCAGCTCAAGGCCCTCACAATGCCCTTTGTCAAGTTCAAGGTCGACGAGGCGCTCAAGGGCGGGCCGCAGGTATTTGTTCGTGTGTGTGTGTGTGTGTGTGTGTGTGTGTGTGTGTGTGTGTGAGTGCACGCGCGCATGCTCGTGTGCGTCCTGGAAAACAGGGGTCAAGGGAGGTCTTTGCTTGCCAACCACAAGCGACCTCTTGTGGCAGGGCGGCCGCGCGGCTTGGCGCACGCTGCGCTGGGACGCTGTGTGGGGTGTGCATGCGGCAGGAGCCGAGGGTTGCGGGCTTGCGTCAAGCTTTGGGCCGCCCCCCGCCCTGGCGACCTCCCCCCTGCTGCCCTACGAGGCAGCCGCAAGCACACTCATGGCGTCCTTCGGCAGGCTGTTCGTGATATCCCACGCTCGTGGGGGCTGTCAGCGATGAATTTGTACTCAATCCGTCACGCTCCCACCCCGCGGCTGCCCCAGGTCCTGGACGTGAAGCTTCCCTTCGACGAGCAGCAGCTGCTGCGCGACAACACCCCCTACCTGCTGCGCGCGCTCGGCATCAGCAGCCTCAGCATACACGCCGCAGGCGACGCGGCGGCCGCGGCGGCGGCGGGCGCGGACGTGGCGGGGGCCTACCCGGCCGCGCCTGTGGTGGTGTTCTCTGCGGCGGCGCCGGCGGGGGCGTGACGCGGCAGACGGGGAGGCGGCGCGGGATCGTTGTAGCAGCAGCAACCGCGGCGCCAGCAGCAGCGGCGGTATGGTGGTGTGGGTGGTGTGTGTGGTCGCGCACCAAGGCAGGGCAGGGGCAGGGCGCAATGGCCCGGTGGCCGGTGGCTGAAATGGGGCAACAGAGTACATGTATTGCTCTGACACTGCCGATTCGACGCCCTTCATGTTCAAAAACCATATTGCGGCACAAGCGTGCAAGTTCGTGTAAACTAGGCAGGTATCGGAACTTTGGTCAGGCGAGTAAACGTGCCGTCGTTCATCGCACACGGCTGTGTTTGGGCGCGCATTCGCAGGCGCAACCGGTCGGGTGGGCGCTGATCAGCATGGCTGCCTTGACTGGGAGCCTGCAGGGGCTTTGTGCGGTGTGGAACACACAGTCAGCGTGCACTGGCTGTGTTGAGTTTGCAGTTCCACAGTTCCAGTGGCGGCTTCGGCAAGAGCAGCCAGAGCCACTCTCCCTGCTGGGCCCGGGTCGGAGCTCAGCTGGAGCCACCTTCCCGACACCATCTGCACAGTCTAGGTTGCAGGTAGGTTGTCACACATGTTGTGCAGCTTGCATATATATCTGGTGTGATTTTCACCTTCGTTTCATGCTCAGTTGAGTGAACATATCATAAGCGGAGATACGACGCTGCAGTTCGCGGGCAGATCGCGACTGGAACGAGACCGCAGCGACGTTTGCTTGAATTCACCGATGTTAGATTGATAGGCGCTCATGATTCAAGGGTGCTAAGACCAGCCTTGTCCGCAGCAGCGAAAGGGGCATGGCTGCTCGCGGGCAGTTGTGGCAGTGGGGGCTGCTCGTGCTGCTTCTTGGAGTCGACGCAGGTAACCAATCGACATTAAAAACGAAATTCATTATTTCTAGTGAGCATATTCTCGGGCATGAACCGTTTGACACGCACCTGCCGCGCGTGATGGTCAGCAACGGCTGAAGAAGGCCAGTCACAGCAACGGCACCCACCATCCGCACCCCACACCACAGCTTGCGCGGCACGCATTGGCAGTGTCTCTGGGGCCAGGCTGTCGCGGAGCCATGGCGTCGTTGCACCAGCGACGCCCAAAAACTCTGATGACGCCCACACCGCCGTCGAGCCGACAAAGCACGCAAGCGCCGCCAATGGCGGCCGCCGCGCGCTGCTGGCGGCTGCACCCCAAGGCCACGCCATCACCGGCCTGACCTTCGCCACCGCCGCCCCCGGCGCCGAGCCGTCCTGCCCGCCGCCGCCGCCCGGCGGGGCGCAGCAGCTGCTCGGCGCCAACCTGAAGCAGGGCAGCACCGCGGCCGCTGCGCGCGTCCACGCGTGCGTCGCCACCAGCCCGACGGGCCCCTTCGTGTCATCCATCCAGGTCACGGCTCCCGGCGGCCGCTGCCCCGAGGCATCCAGTCAGGTGCCGTTCAACCTGAACGGCCCGATTCCCGGTGCCCCCGCCGTGTACGCGTGCCTAGTGATGACGTCATCGCAGCCCGCCGCGCTGCGCGCGCTGCGCGTCGCGTTCGCAAACCCCGGCAGCACGGCCGGCGCCGCGGCGTGCGGCCCGGGGTTCACTGTCCAAGGAGGCGACGCCAACGCGGGCGCGGGCGCCGGCGGGCTGGCGGCGTACTTCTGCGGCACGAGCAGTGATCAGGGGCTGATCTCCAAGTCCCTGGACCCCACGACTTCCGGCGGCGACGCGACGCTGCTGGTGCACCCGCTGTCTGAGGGGCTGTACTCCTGCCTGACCATTGCCGGCGGCGCCACGCTGGCGAGCAGCTGGCGCACAGGGCTGCGGGTCGAGCCGTGGCCCTGCAAGGGCGGTCCGGGGGGTGCGCCCCCGGGAGTGCAGCAGCAGTGGGTGTTTGTGAACAAGGGCGGCGGCAAGTGAGTGCCTTGCCGGGAGAGTGAAAGGTGGAGGGGGCCAGGGATCCAGATTTGTGCGATGCCAAGGGATCAGCGCCAGCTTGTGGCCCTTTCAACGTGCTACTGGGGTGTCTGAATCAACAAATGTGCCACCCATCACTGGCGATCCATTCTTCTCGTTCGGCCTTCGCCCTTTTCATACGTGTGCCCCAACAACTTATCACGCAACCCAATTCTTCTCCTCCCTGCCTCCGCCCTTAGGCTCCAGATCCAGCAGGCCGCGTCCCGCCAGTGCCTGTCGAGCCTTAACGGGGAGGGCAGCCTGGTGTACGCCTATGACTGCAAGACCGCGGCCCAGGACACCACGTCGCCGCTGCCCTGGCAGCTCTGGACCCTGGAGCCTGTCGCGCCGCGCGCCTCGGCGGCGGTGGTCAGCGGCGGGGGCGGCACCTACCGCATCCGCGCGGCGGCCGGCGGCTGGTGCATGCAGGTGGGGCTTGAGCGGGGGGGGCCAGGCTGGGTCATGAAGGGGGAGCGGGCCGGGTGGCCGAGGGGTGGAGCCCCCAGCCACCGGTGGCCGAGGGGTGGAGCCCCCAGCCACCGGTGGCCGAGGGGTGGAGCCCCCACCCCCCAGCGGTCCAACAACAGATCCCCACCCACTCGTTGATGCGTGAGATCCTGGTGCGAGCCGTCTCCCCACCGCAAGGCCCCGCAACGTCTCGCACGCCTCATGCTCTCTCCGCCTTGCGTATCGGCTGCGTGTGCATGTCTTTTATGCACCCACATTGCTGCGCACTAGACAAAAAATGTATGCGTGGGAGCCCACTTTATGCACACACACACACACACACACACACACACACACAAACACACACACACGGCTTATACACAGGTCCAGGACGAGCCCACTGATTACTACGATGAGGAGGGCGACGCTGACATGGCATGGCCGTCATCAATCGTCCTGGCCCAGTGCTCAACCTCGGACCCAAAACAGCAATTCGCCTTGGAGTCTCCCGGCGCAAAACGCGTCGGCCAGTCAGCCCCCGCGCCCGCGCCTGCGCCCGCCCCCGGCAAACCGTCGATACCGCAGCTGCCGCAGCTGCCGCCGGCACGGACGCAGGACCCTCCTGCGCAGCAGCAGCAGCCAAGCGTGCCGCCGGCGTCGGACCCGCCCAGGCGCGTGCGTGCCGCGCGCTGCGCAACCCCGCCACCCAGCCGCGGGGCGGGACGCCGCCGCAGCGAGCGTCCATAGCAATTTTGGTCGGCAAGAGAGGTGCCACCCTGTACAGGGCTGACATGGCAGCCTCTTGAGGAGTCCTGGTGCCCTACTCACGCACCTTGCCACAATACCCTATCCCTCTCCCCCCTACTACACACACACACACACACACACACACACACACACACACGCACACACACAACATCAGGAGCCACAAGAAACCGAAGAAGCCCAAGAAACAGAAGACCCCAAAGGATCCCAAGACCCCAACGGAGGAGAAACCCAAGAAAACGAAGAAGCCGAAAAAGGAGAGGGCCCCGAAAACACCGCAGCCCCCGAGGGAGCCGCGGCCGCCGAGGCCGGCGCCGGCGCCGCGGCAGGCGCCGGCGGGCGGGGGCGGGCAGCAGGGGCAGGAGGCGCGGCCGGTGAGCCCGTTCCGGCAGATGCTGACTAATGCTGTGAGGCAGGCGGTGACAACGGTGGGTGGAAACTTTGTGCGGAACCTTTTTGGCGGCCTCCTGGGGTAGATGATTCCGTATAGATTATGTTTGTTTATTTAGCTGGCCCTTCAGATCTTGTTTATGGAATCGATCAATCCCGCCCTGATGCGCTTGCATGCATCCGCGGACCACACGCCATCTGCGTGCAGTGCACTGCGACCTCCTAACAGCTGCAGCTGACCTGGCTGCCTCTGCGAGGGTTCGCGGCGATGCGGTGTTGACGTTTTTGATTGCAGCCCTCCACTGCCGATGCTCCATCCCTTTGGCCTCCTTTTGGCATTCCTTTCGCCTCCCTGTGGCCACCTGTGTGCGCACCCGCACTCTCGCTCACAAAATGCATGATCGCCCTGCGCGCCATCCGCGGCAGCGCGCGCTGCGCCGCCACTCGTGGCTTCACAACAACATCCACGCATCAGAATAGTGCATAATTGTACGGCAGCCCCAGTCTGCCGCCGCTGCCAGCCGATTCCACTGACAGCCAGCGCCCCTCATCGCGCCGGCGGCGCGTGCGCGCCACTCCGCTGCAATAGGGCCCGTCGCTGCGCCGCCTCTGACTGGTCATTGCCACCACCCAATGAGATCCGCACCCCTCTGGTGCAAACACTCCACAACCAACCCCCGGCAAACCGTGTAGCTTGCTGCTGGCATTCCGTCCCTTTGGCCTATTAGTAATCTGTTGGCCACCGCGATTCCGGTGTGAATCCGAGCCTCGGAGGGTTGCATCCCGCACGTCAGCTGGTAGTAGGTCAACATCTTGCAAACCCCCGGAAGAACACAACTTCACAGCAATTCTTGTCAGCCTGACGACTCAGTGTGGCGGTGTGGTGCCAAGCTGCCCAACCCGTCAGCATTCATTGGGCCCAGGCCCGTCTGACGGCGCGCATGCGCCCGCTTGGGGCAAGACCACCCGTCAATGCTTGCAGTCAAGGCAGTACATGGGCGGTGCTTGGCCTCCTGGCACGTGTGGGGGTGCACCAGGCCAGACGAGGGGCGCCGCCGTCATGGCTGCACGCCATTGATGGTTTGCGACACCGTGCATCCTCTTGGCCGCAGGCCTGCGGTGTACATATTGAGACGTGGGTACGGCGTGCACTTCAGATGCATGCGAACATCACATAGTCGTGGGCCACGCTCACTGTTTTACAACGAAAAGCCGTTGCTCAGTTACTCATCAGATCATTCACAGGGGCCCTTTCGGACAATCGAAATTGGCATCCGCTTGTTTCAGAGGGACGCAGACGCTGCGTTCGAACCACGCCGCTTGAAGCTTTGCCGTAGAGTTCAGAAACAGTGACATCCCGACAAGGCGTCCGCCTTCGCCGGATAACCCACCTGGAGCCCAAATGACAAGCGGTTCGATGGCTCCTGCAAGTTCTCTAATGATGCTGCTAGTGGTGGCGCTTCTCCTCGCCGCGCCAGCAGCCAGTGCCCCGCAGCGCGCCCGCGGCGCCCCCGTCGCCGCCGCTCCCGCTGCCCTCGGCCCTGCCGGCGCCTTCGACGCCGCGCGTCGTGCGCTTTACGAGGCCTCAGACGAATCCTTCTCGGACTCCTCCCTGACCCAGGCCGGCCCCACCTGCATCGCACGCTTTTATGCGCTTGTCGACCAGCTGTACCCCTCGGGCTCGACGTGCCCTGTCACCATCCAGCAAGGACTCTCCGCGACGGCGGCAGACATGTGCCCCGAAGGCGGCGGCGGTGTGGGGTCGCCGCTGCAGCAGTGCCTGCGCGCGACGACGGTGGGCGCCCGCGGGCAGCTTGAGCTGCGCGCGCGCATGGCGCCCGACCCCCAGACACCGCGCTGCGCCACCGCTCCCTCTCCCTCCCGCCTCGCGCGGCGCCACCTTCGCAGCCCCTCTGCGCCGACCGCGTGCCTTCCATCGCCGCCCTACCCGCCCCGCACCCCTTCCTCTCACCCTCTCGACACCCGTCACCCGCTCCTTGCTTCATCCGCTCCTCGCGTCGCCCGCTCCACACCGCGCGACCACAGGCCACCGCGGACGCTTGGACGGATTACGTCACCACCTGCCCCGTGCTCCGCATCAAGCAGCGCGCCCCCGGCTTCAAATCGGGCGTGGGCGGCTTCTCATGCGTGCCGAAGTACGCCACGCCCGCCGAATTCCGGAGCCAGTACCTGGCAGCGGGAGCCGCGGGCGGCGCCAAAGCCGCGACGTCCGCTGGCGCCGGCCGCGCGGCCCAAGCCTCGTGGGTGCTTGCGGCTGCAGTGGCGGCGGCGGCGGTCGCACTGTGAGGCTGAAACACCAGGTCTTTTCTTAACAGGATCCAGGCAATGACTTCTAAGAAATGCAGCCGGCCCTGGGCCTGGCGTCCTGTATCGACGCAAGGATCTACACGTGCCGTCGCGGGCTTGCGCTGTCTGGCAGCCCCGCTTGCGCCCGGCCCTCCGCCGCGGCTGCTCGGCGCCGGCGTGGCGCGGCATGCCGCGCCGCCGCCGCTGTTGCCGCTGCCACGCGGCGCTCTTCCTTGGAGTCGCCCGCCAAACGCCAGCCCAAAAATGCCGGCCTGACGCTTGACACAAAACTAGAAGCCATGGGCCGTCCAAGCGCCTCGTGCTGCTGCGCCCCGCTGGCCCGGCGAGCTGCCTGCCCGCGCGCCAGCGAGCCCATCAGCACTGGTACAATGCTACACAGGCTGTATTTTGCGTGGGCGATGGTATCTGACTGCTCATATGGATCTATGATTGCATGCCTGCCTGGGTTCTGCGCTGCAAGTCGCTGGCGCGATGCGCACCGCAGCACACACGCCGCACACATTGATTTGCTTTTGCTGGCCTCCTGTTGGGAGGGCCTTGGAGACCTCATTAGAGTGCCGCGGGAATGCGGGATTGGAACCCTCATCACAAGCGCTGCGCATTGTTGTGCGCTGCGCTTTTTCGTCGCTCGCCTCCAAGGGCAAATCCTGTCTGCCATGATAGGCAGGCCGCCGTGGCAGAATCGTCGCCGGCAGGCGCCCGCGAGACCAGCGCGCCGACGGATCCGCGGCGCTGCGCTCGCAAATCGCTATTGGCCAGGCGTCGCCGGCTGGAGCGTCCCTTCAAGCACACACGCCCTTATGAAACGGCGGCCGGCGCCGCCCGTGATCACACAAATCTCCTGTGTGGCCCGCAAGCAACCCCCCAAGCGCCTTTTTGCGCCCTTCCACTCAAGCACCTGCGAGTCGGCTTGGAAACAGCCGGCTGCTTTTATGAAGCACTTCTTCCTTCGGACAATTAGCAAAGCCTGCTCTTACGTGCTCCTGCAATCATGTAATGACTTCCTCTGTCACCTCGAGGTTGTGGTGAACATGTGTTCAGTTGTGGCATGCGCGGTGCCTGTTGATGTTACCAGATTGACAAAGCAGTACAGAAGCAGCACAGCAGCGCAATTGCAGCGCCAGCGCAGGGTGGCTGATGGCAGCCCTCGCCTTGACGCGCATGACTTTGGACATTGGTCCAAAACAAGAGTCACCTGCAGCCTGACATGCTTGCCGACCAAACCCTCACATAGTAACACCTTGCCCTGGCCTCTCGCTTTCCCCTGCTTTTCAAAATAATTTAGAAATTGATTGGTTGCTTTTTAATGTGGCAAATCTCCAGTCATTTGTTCCGACAGACATGTAGAAAGCGTCATCAATGGAGGGCCCGACAGCGGCAGCCCTATGGCTGCTGGTCAGCATGTGGCGGCGCATAGTGCGGCGGCCGCATACTTTGCTGGTGTCGAATCGCGGAAGATAGTGGGGCGGGACGATTGCGAACCGGAGGGGCCGGCGTCTTTGCTTGCATGCTGAAAGGTGGCCCAGGCTCGCTCCTTCACTCAGCCGAGGCTGCGAACCACGGCTTGAGACCTGGGGTGAGGGATTGGGAAGGCAGGGGGGTGAGTGAGGCGGAGCACGGTGCGTCAGGGAGCCACAAGGGGCAGAGGCATGCACCCGGCTGCACACTCTCCGGGCAGGGCAGCAGAATAGGGCGCTAGCGGGCGCGCAGACTCAGTGGCGCGACCGCTAATGGCACGTTGACAGGCAAAGGACCCGCGTTGCTGCAGGTGGCCATAGTAGCAGGCGCCCCCGTTCCCCGCCGTGGCGCGGCAGGGTGCCGCCAATATGTGATCACATGTGCAAGCAGGCAGGCAGGCAAGGGGAAAGGGAAAGGGAGGTGCATGGGGCTGGGCGCTTCGTATGCGACACTCCGCCGATCCGAGGAACCCGGGTGCGCGCCCACCAAAGCGCTGCTGCAGGTACCGGATCTTCTCCCACTCCCACTCGTGCCACGTGTCCTTGACCAGGCCGCCGGTGTCTGCATGGAATGGGCAATCGCGGTCGGCCGAAGTTGAGTGTTGCCCATGACATTTGGTCCAGGCGTTAGGCCCTGGCAGCCTAGGAACTGCCCTGCAACCCCTGCGCGAGGCGCGATGACGCCGCGGCGTGACACAGCCAGCCCTGCCGTTTCGCTGTCAGGGGGTGAGGGGAGTGCTGCAGCTTTTCAGACCCTGCGCTCTGCAATTGCGGCGGGGCCTGCCCAGCTCAGCAGGCGGATGACAATCAAATACGTGTCGTCGTCGTCGCCTAGTTGCCGCCCTGCGTGCAGACTGCATCGCGCGGCAATCGCAACCTGACGGCAGGGGCTCTGAAAGCTCACCTCCAGAGTTGGCTGGGAACCAAGGTGGGTTCAGGGCGGGGAGGGTGCAAAGGAAGGCAGGGAGGAGGGTGGAAGGGATGGCGGGGCAGATTGAGAACGCGATCGGCAGGGTCGTTTGCCTCTCGGCATGCTGCGTGGCCTGGGCGGACGTGCGGCCCCTCGCCACGACGCCTGTGCGCGGGAGGCCTGACGTAGAGACCATGCGCGGCCCAGCGCGGAAAAGTCGGTGCCAAATTGCTGGACCACCATATGATTCTGCACCCGGCCGCCAGGCGAACGGCTCACCATTGTAGCACCCTTCAGGTCACAGCGCGGGTGTCGCATGGGTGAAGGGGGGTTGGGCAAGTGTTGCGCAGGAGTCGGACGCAACACATGGATCAGGCCGACGGCCGCCCGTTGACGTGGTGCATACATCGCCGGCTTGGCCCTGGCCCTTGCGGCGAGGCCCATATCTCTTATTTCATAATCGTCCGTCAACCCCCGCATGCAGCGGCACGCTCACAGTAGAAGAAGTTGCCGACTGGGCGGTGCTTGCCGGTGTTGCCGGGGCCCTCGTTGCGCAGCCACATGGTGAAGTCGCGCAGGTGCTCCATGTCCTATTTGGGGGTGCATCAACAGCATGGGGGGTGCGTCATGCAGGCACTGCCCCAAGGGGTGCACACGGTCACCAGCCCTGTCCTCAGCCAAGCGGCAGGACCCTAGCCTCCGAATTCCCCTGCATGATGGCAGCCATCACATATCTAGGGACGGCTGCAACATCAGCACTGATATGCAATTGAGGGCGTGTGTCAGCCCTCCCAACTCGACAAACACCCCTCCCTAAACCACACAACCACACGTGCGGGCACATGCGGTTGCGTGGACCCGTGACTCACATCCTTGTCCACAAACCGGGACCCAAACTCTCCGATGGCGACAGGGAACGTGTGGCACGTGCCATCGGCGCAGTACCCCTTCTGCTTGGGGAAAAATTCCATCATGGGGGGGGGGGGGAGACCCAGGAGCCGTGAGCTGGCTTGCACTACCGGTAGCCTGGCTCGCATTGACCGCCACAAAAACGCATTGGCGTGGCCGGGGTTGAGCGAGCGCGCAGCATGACGACCCAGCCCTGCCTGGCAGAGTGCAATTAAGACTGCCGCAGGCACCGTGGGGTACCCATGGCGCAGCGCCCCCCCCCCCCCCAAAATTCCTTGCCTGGTTGAGGTACCCGAAAGAGGTGTCCAGCGCCTCCCACAGGGTCGGGCCCACGGCCATCCCGTCGCGGCGGTTGGAGACGCTCGGGCCCTGGCGGGTTGGTGTGCAGGGGTGTGGTTCTCAGGGATGCGGTCGTCCAGGGGCGTAGGTCAGCAGGCCCGTGGGCTCTGGTGCGTTTGGGGTTGGGTGGGCGCACGAGCTTGGCGGGCACAGGCAGGGGACGCGCGGCAGGCCGTGCAACGGAGGGTGCAGCGTCAAGGTATATTTCTTGATGTCAAATTTCCGGGGTCCGCTGCGCTCACGTAAACGTGGGGAGAGATGACGACGCGGTCGAGGTAGGGCCTCTTCATGAGCGCCCTGTGGGGGATGGGTGAGGGTGGGGTGGGGTGTGGGGTTTTGCAGATTGCAGAGAGAGAGTGTGTGTGTGTGTGTGTCAGAGTGAGAATGGAGGGGTGCTAGGTTGCAGAGACCGTGGGAGGGCAGGGGGTGAGGGGTAATTGGTGGTGCAGGGGAAGGGGCTCCTGGACGTCCGTCCAGGAGGCGGGTTCGCTGAGTCGGAGGTTCCCCCTTATGTGGGTAAGGGGCACGGCGGCAACTAGTGTCATTGGTGCATTTGGCTTGCCGACCAACCCCTGAGAGTTTTTGGCCGGTTCATGCTGCCTGCGTTGGTCCTCATCGCCTGCGCGCCTCTCCAGCTGGTGCAGCCGTGTGGCTGTTGGTGCTCCCCGCCAAGGCTGTACATGCCCATCGCGGCGGGGGACGCACGCACTTGAAGAAAGGGTTTGCGTCTGTGATGCGTGTCGTCCAGTCGTGGGACATAGACTCGATGAGGGTGGTGTTGGTGATGAAGCCGTTGCCCCAGTTGATGCCTGGAAGGTGAAAGGGGTGCGGCAGGGTGAGGGCAGCTGGAGATACAGGAGGTGGCTCAGGGTGTGCGGGGCAAGGTGGGTTGGGGTCTAGAGAGCACCATCTGCATCCATCAGGGTTTGCGACTTTGCATAAATTAAAACTGGGTTGATGGCAGGCATCTGGCAGGCACGCTTTGCCGGACACGGCGGCATAAGCATGACCACCCTGCCTAGAGCCGTGGACGAAGCAGAGGTGCATGCGCGCCGCGAGGCAGCGGGCTTTCCGGGGCACAGACGGGTTGGTAAGGCCATCAGGCACGGCCTCGCGTGATCGACATCGCGGAGCGCGCACCCTTGTATGCGCCCTGGCCCCCGCCCTCAACAAAGAATATGGGCAGCCCAGGCGTCATCTCCCACAGGGCGTCCATCACTCCCAGGTACAGCTCGGTCATGCCTGCGCAAAGCGGGGAGGGGGGAGCGGACAGGGGGACAGCCGTCCAGCCAGCCGTTTGCTTGACAATGCACGGGGCAAAGGGTAGAGAGACTGCCTTAACCTTTGGGGACCTTTGGGGAACTTTGGGGGCCTGATGTTTCGACGCTATTCTATCTTGTTGCCGTGCACGTCGCTGCCGCAGGCTCGGCTACGCCGCCTCGCGCCGCCTCTCACCACACGCCCGCGCCAGCCCCAGCCGGCGCCGGCGCCCGGCTGCGGCGAGGCGCGGCCGCTTTCGTCCATGCGCCCGGCCCTGCCCCCCCCCCCCCCTGCTCACCAGCCGCGCCAGACTCGTTGGGCTGCCAGCCCTGCCTTTGGCTGTCCGGCTCGTTCAGAATGTCCAGGAAGAGGCGCCCCTTCATGTCCTCCTCAAAGTTTGGGAGGCACGAGAACTTTGACCACACCTGAGGTTGTATGATGACGTCAGGGCGGGATGGGGGGGGGGGACGTGGAGGAGCGACGTTCAGTGAGATGGGTGATATGCACATGGTGATCCAGTTTCGATGGTCGCACGTCAGATCTCTGGCGGTCAAAGCGCATCGTGACTTGCACTCCGTCAGGGTGAGGATGCAGGGGGGCGGTTGTGAGGAGGGCAAACAAAGGTGAATCATGAGGAAACAGGAGGTGGAGCCAGGGGGAATCAAGAAGGTTGAAGGTTTGGTCGAAGGCAGGCAAAATGGGATAGGGTTGTCACTGGAGCTCTTTGGATAGCTGGCTACCACACGATACAGACAGACTTGTGTCAGCGTGGGTCCGGCGGCGTTGTGGCTGACGGCGACGCCAGTGCCTTGCGCAGCCCACTCTGCCGCAATGCCACCTGTTTCAGGTATCAGGGGCCTGACAACTTCGCCTCAACTCACCCACTTCCAGCCATCAATAAAGTCCTTAGCACTGTGGCTGGTCATCTCCTGCGACATGGGGTGGTTGTCGATCAGGACGTACCTGCCGGAGAGCGGTTTCGACGTGGGCCAGCACCGGGTTAGAGGCATATGGAAGCGTGTTGATTAGAAATATCGGGACATCTGCAAGCAAGCACACCAAATTCCGAGTGCTGTATCAGCGATGGTCCATCCCGCCTTGGATTCTGTGTCGGCGTGACTGGCTCGATCAATCCCCTCACGCAGGTGGCCGCGTCGCACCATCCGTTAGCGATCAGCCACTGCACACTCCACATGTAGCGGTCAATTGTCTGGCCGCCAGGAATGTAGGCTGCAGGCCAAAGAGGGCGAGGCGGCAAGTCAGCATTGCAACGGCGTGCGTGCTGATATCCATATCAACACAGACTGACACGTGCATTGCAGCCCCAGCCTGAGGCGCCCCACGGCAGCAGGCGCCCGCCAGCCGCCTCTTGCCCTCAGCACGCATAAGCGGCCCCCGCCTCAGCGCCCTCCGCGGCGGTCCGCCGCGGCCGCTCGTATGACACGCAGCCCGCACCCAGCTTTGCCCTAAACCACCAGCCCCTGCCCGGCCCAGCCCCACCGTCCCCTTGCCCTGCTGCGGCCGCGCAGCCAGGACCCACTGTTGCAGGTGCCGGGCCCTGGGATGTCCGGCAGCGGCACCACCGGCTGCGGCGCCTGCTTGTTCATGGGGCCCCTGTACTCCGGGTCTATGGTGCGCTCCGCCAGCTCGTTCAGGGTGTGGGCCCCAGTGCAGTAGCCGCCGATCTGAGGCGTCCAACCGCAACGATTGCAATGGCGGCGCGGGGGAGACGGGGGTTGGGGTGGGGATAGGGGTGAGGAGGTTTTGGGACGAGGCAGGGAAGACGCGCGGCCGCGTAGGGTGAGGGGAGAGACGATGTTTTGTTTGCAGTTCAAATGAAGAGGTGAGGCAAAGCGAGTTTTCAAGCTTGGCAAGCAGCACCCTGCGGCTGCCTGCTACGAGCTTATTGGGGAGCCAGACCGCGGCGTGCTGCCTATTTCACCTGGGTGGATGGGGCCTTGAGGTCTTTGAAGATGTAGGGCAGCCTTATCGCATTGAACCCCTGCAGCGGGTGCAGCAGGCGCGGGCGGGCGCGAGCCGGCGGCGCGCTGGGTGGCAGGTCCGTGCGGCGGGCTGCGAGCCGCAGCGCAGCGGCGGCAGCGGCGGCGGCGACGGCAGCTGCGGGGGCGTGGTCGTTAGGCAAGGCCAGTGGCCGGGCGCTGCGCAGCAGAGGCCAGCCGCCCTGCTCCTGTCGGCTGGCGCCGCCGGGCGGGGCGAGGTCGAGCGCGCGTCCAGGGCTTTGCCAGAGCATCAGCCGCCGCCGCGCGGCACAGGATTCTGACATAGGAGTAACGAGTTCTTCATGCGCGCGGCGCGCTCGTGGGGGCGCGGGCAGCAATTCGCGCCCACCAGCAGCTGCAGCTCGTACACGATCGTTGCAAAGTCGCTGTTCCCACTCTTCCCGCCGGCCCACAGGCCGTTGAGCCACGTCATCCCGTTGTTGAAGCCGAACCAGTTGATACCATGGATGGCCACTGGGCTGCCGTCAGACACCTTGACGAACTGGTCGCCCACAAGCTTGACGGGCGGGGCGGGGCGCCCGCGCGGAGGAACGGCTGCAATGTGCGTCAGTGCAGCGGTGCGGCGTTGCGGCGCGTGTGCTGATGAGCGGGGCTTGCACCATCTCAATGAATTTGACAACTTATTTGAAACGCGTCCAGAACGTGTCTTTCTCCTGATCGTCGCCTCTCATGGCAGTTTTTCGGCGGTTTTGATCTGCCCGCGGCCCGGTGGGCCCTCTCACCCACCGTAGGCCAACTTGGATCCCTCGCAGTAGTCGGGGCGCGCCATTGCCACGCCCAATCCACAAAGTAGCAACGCAGCCAAGGCTGCGGTGACTTGTTGCCGCGCCATCCCCGCAAGATGTGTGCCTGAATGCGGTGACAAACTGAGCAGGAAATATCTTGTCTATGTGTGTATATTTTCACAAGAAAGGTGAGATCGGTGCTGCCGGGGCTGTAGTTGCGCGGAAACGAAGAAGCCCGCGAAGAACCTGAGCAATCAACACTATCGGCTCAAGGATTCATTAGACTTGAATATGATTCTCTCGGCACAATGTGAGGCACTGCATGCATGGGCACTGCAGGCATGGGCAACAGCAAGCTACTCTTGGACCGTAGTGCGCGAGTCGCACCTCAGCTGTCGAACGAAGTGCCGATAGCCACTGCACAAATGCTGCCGGAGCGGCGGCCCTACCACATATCGGAGGATTGGCCTCATGCGCTGCATAAAAATGCGGACGGGCGAGCATGTACTGGCGTCACCTGCAGTGCAGCTGTTAGCTTGCCTGCCTGAAGGTACCCGATGGGGGTTGCGAAGAACTGCTTTCCCTTGAGAAGCCAGGAGTGTGCTAACGCCGGCGCAAAGTGTCTGAGGTGGCTTGTCGAAAAGCAGGCATTTCCACCCCTACAGGGCCCGAGCGGCGGCGGCATCGCATGTGAGTGGCGGCGCACGCCGCGCGTGCCTTTCTTGCAAAAAGTAGATATGCATGAAGCGTTGCAAGGAAAGAGTGTTTAAAACAAGTGTACGGCGAGTTGCCTGCATGACAAGGTTACGCGCCCCCACTCATAGAAAAAAAGTGGGCCTGCCACCCGTGCTGGGAACACCGGAGGCAGGCGAGAACTACAGGGTGAAACGGCGCAAGCTCAAGCTATGACCACAGGCAGCTGACGCGTGGCACCATGCAGCTCATAAAATGCAATAAAGTACGTGTGGGCAGATTCTTCCGCGAACCACACTGTCTTGGTCACAGCAAGTCTCCGACGGACAACCAATGGGAGATGACCAACACCTGCACATGCACAGAACCCAACTGCTCGCGGAGCAGAGAGCCAAAATTCGCGCACAACCTGTCACAATGTTGCATCGATCATTGGCCACATCAGTTGCCGGGCCAGCCGTGAGGCGCTGGCTTGCGCTGCAACGCCACTTCCACGCACCGACTTGCGTCAACAGCAGCAGATGGTGATGGTTTGCGAACCAGCCCCTGCCATTCAAGAGCTGGGATCCAGCCTGAACCCGCTGAGTATCCCTAGAATTTTCCTTCAACCTTGCTGTTGTCCGACTCTTCCTGGCGGACTTTCGCAATTTTCTCACCTGACTCATTTTGCACGACCTCCGACACCCAAGTGAGTCTCGAGGCGTAGCTTTGAAACGTTTCAAAAACTTTGTTATACTTAATTACTATAGACGTTCCGTGAGCCGTACCCTGTTGAACTCGCCGCTGGTAGCGCGACATCGCGTCTCTTACAGTGCCCTTGCGCCCCGTGACAACGCTTCTTTTACAGAGATTTTTGGTAACATACCGTCGACATGGTCGGAAGCGCCGCACGGCGGCTTGTGTCTCCGCAGGCAGCAGCAGGAGGCTTCGAGTTCCCTGAGAACGGCGCCACTGCGGCCGCTGGCCCCCCCTTGTATGAGTCTGACGCCTTCCGCATTGCCGCCTACAAGATCCTGCTGTGCAGCAACCGCGGGCAGCACGACTGGTGAGCGGCGAAGAAATTAGTCGCGCATTGCGTCAGCGCTGGCGGTCGCCTGACACGCCTCCCGCCTGCCGCGCTAGCGGAGCATGCGCCTCGGACGCGCGCCGCAGCGTTTGAATGGCCAGCAGCTAGATGGGGGCAGGCCAACGGGCAGTGCGCGCGTCCCCTCGCGGCGCCCCCTTGGCTGCTGCTGCCGCACTGCGCGCCCCCGTCAAGCCCCGTCCCGCCTTCCCTCGCGCACACCCCACGGACGCTTACCCGCCGCGCCCCGGCCCTCCAAACCGCAACCCCTGGCAGGAAGACCTGCCCCTTTGCGCATCCTGGGGAGCACGCGCGGCGCCGCGCGCTCGACAAGTTCAAGTATGAAGCGGAGATGTGCGCGCACGCGCGCCGCGGCGCCCGCTGCCCGCTCGGGGACGCCTGCCCCCAGGTGACCACCCGCTGCGGCGCCGCAACGCGTCCCGGCGCCGCCACACGCATGATCTCTGCTGGAAAGCGCGCCTCTCTGCCGCAGCTGCGGACGGGGCGGCCGGGGCCGCGCGCGGCCTGTACGCAGGCGCGCCTGCCCCCGACGCGCGCCTGCGTCCCCCGCCACCTTGGCTTGGGCCCAAACCCAACCCCTCCGCCCCCGCTGCCGCGCCCTCGCCTCCCCTGCGGCACCAGTCCCACCACGTGTTTGAGATGTGGCTGCACCCGGACCGCTACCGCACGCAGCTGTGCAGCGACGGCGCCGCCTGCAAGCGACAGGTGCGGCCCCCATGCGCCGCCGCCTCGGACGCAACCTGCAGCTGCGCTGCCTGCCGCCCTGCGCGGCCTGCGGCTGGTTGGTTCGCGTGCGGCAGGCTTGTCGTTGATGCCGACGCCTGGGCTCAGCGGACCAGGGCGGGTGCGGGTGGCATGTGCCGCTTACACAACATCAGGACAATTTACCAAGGAGTGGCCAACCATCTTCCGATCACAACCCCCTTTCAAACACCCTTGCCCTAACCCCAGGTCTGCTTTTTCGCCCACTGCATCTCTGAGCTGAGGACCCCGCCCAGCCAGCGCTGCGGTGCGGCCGCGGCTGCGCCGCCGCCGCTGCCACAGCAGCAGCAGCAGCAGCAGCAGCAGCAGCAGCAGCAGCAGCAGCAGCAGCAGGTACATGCCCAGCACATGTACAGCCCCCGCACGACCTGGGGCTCGCCCGTCGCCGGTGAGCGCGCCGCGCAGGCGCCGCTCCCACTGACATCACTCTGCGTCATCGGCGGCAGCAGCAGCGGCAGCTCCCGTTGCAGCAGCCTCGGCGGCGGGTGCGAGTCGCCCCCGACCTCTCCTTTCACATCCGGGTCGGCCTTCGCCTCCCCAGCCGCTGCAACCATCGGCGCTTCCGCCATGATTGCGGGCGCGCCGCATGCACAACCGCTGCTGCTCGCTGAACTGCCGGGGGCCCACAGTGCCGGGGCAGGCGCGGGGGCGCTGCTGGAGAGCCCCTTGTCGTCGTATGCTATGGGCAGCCCCTCCACGCAGCAGTACCCGACAGACCTCCTCCAGACGCTGCTGCTCGAGGCCGTAGCCGCACGCAGCGCCGGCGCGGCGGCGCTCGCCGGCGCGGGTGTTGGCGCGGGCTTTGGCGTCGGCCCGGGGATGGTCCTGGCATCTGCCCCCTCGCAGCAGCCTGCCCCTCCGGCAGCGCTGCTGCCCAGCACGCTGTTCTACGATCTCGAAAGCGCCGCCCCGGCGCGGTGGGAGCTGCAGCCACTGTACACGCTCGATTGCGAGCCGCTGGCCGCCACAGAGGACGCCGTCGACGCCGGCGGGTGGG